ATTGAGAAACGGCCTGGGTGTTTTCTCAATGTCGAGGAAGGCTGCTCCAGAGCCACTATTTCAAGGATGCTACGTCATCGAGTGCCGCCGAAGGACTGTTCCAATGTCCAGGATGCTTGGAATTCTTCCGAGGCCGGCGTCCTTCGTTGCGGGACATTTCGAGGCTGCACATGTGTATCCTCCGCGGTCTTAAAATCCCCACAATGCTTTGTGCACGGACCAATTTCCAAATCTTTGGCGGAAATCGCGCTCCATTTAAGGCGGGGCCTCGCATATGACGCACACCTGTTAGCCTGTTCCACCATTCTTCGTTTTCCGAGGCTAAGAAGGATTCTTGCCTCGCTTTTGAAGGACCTGACTCGGAGGGACATGTCCTACCAAGGAAGCGTCCTCGACATTGAGAAACACCCTCTGTCTTTCTCTGGTCTGCTTATATTAAATTACTTAGCACCAGATGGAAAACATTGTACCAAAACATGTTTAGTTTGCAAACAAAATCTATGATCAACAAAAAACGAATTGCAGTATGCAAAATGTGAAAATAAATTGTAGCCATTCACTTTGGTTCTGTAATAATGGATGTATAATTGGAGATATTCACCATTATTATAAACATTTTATACATAGTTTAAAGCCCCAGAAGTTATTTTTCGATGTTAACTGTGACTAAACCCAATGCAAATAAATGTAACTTGACATTTTGCAATCAGAAATGTTTAATGAGTCGTTAAAACAGAGATGAATTCATTACGGTTGATAGATCTGTCACTCAAATCCAATCACATTTCCTCCAGTGGGTGTAAAAAGATATATTTAGAGCTTAAAGTAGTCAAGCGCTGCAGAGCCCAAATAAGTAGGGCACGCTTTATTATCAAATAATAACACACATTCATACACACATGGGGGCCAAATGCCGTATTTAAAGAGAATGTAGCATGTTAACGACAGCCTGACCAATGCTAGTGGCTGATAGCAGGTTACTGAAACCTTCATATGGACGGTGATGGCTGGACATGCATTCATTGAATCAAGAGAACATGTTCACATCTTTACTATTATGCAGAGTTTATAGTGTTTTGTACCATGTGAGATGGCAGAGCAGCTGTGGAATTTTAGTGTAGTGCAGCTGTAAAAACCTGCCTTCGGTACACACTGTTACTTATCGTGAGTATTAATGCTCGGCTTTACTATCACAAGAAAGTAGGCCAATGGCATAAACCTGTCAAAGAGTGACTGAAATCTACCGGCTGGTGTCGTGCAAATACAAGTCTATGGCCTTTCCACAGGATATGTAAAGTTCCACTGACGGTCTTATGATAAAAGGTATATGGGTTATTCAGGCTCATACACGTGCACCATACAGCAAAGACACTATTACTCAGTATTAATAACCACGACGGGGTCAAAAAAGTGGGTCTAAGCAGAACGAATAGAGCAAGCAGACGAATTGTTATTCATCAGCTACCACAATGATCTGCAACACTCTTAGTGTTTCTGAGAAGTTGTGACCTGTTGTCCATACTGCCTTCACACTCTTTGCTCTTTGTAACCTTTAGCTGGCGAGTTGGCATCTGTGAATCTCGCGTCTGCTCTAAGGTGTTGGTTATCTGGCCTGTAGCAATGTTTGGTGTGAATCCCAACAAGGCGTTGCAACAGGGTGGAGTTTGTTGGGCATGCATAACTTTGTAACTTTTGCCCGAAGAAATAACAGAATTCTTCTTCTTTTAAATAGAAAAAGCAGTAAAATACACTCTTGCCCAAGTCAACACAACAGTGGTTTTCCTGCTATTGCCACACTTGGTCTGGTGTGACTAGCTTTATGTGGCTAATGTTAATGTAATGCTCCTATTTCTCACTTAGTTCTCTTTATTCAACTATTGTCAATTTTACTGGTGCTATACTATGTTTTAGTAGTAACCATTGGCTGTAAACGTTATACGCCTTTCCATAAAAATGTGCGAGTGTATACAACTCTTACTGGGTTTTTTTAGTGCGTCAGATTAACTTTATAATCATGCTGGAAAGCAGGGTTAGTCAACCATGGAGGTTATTTCCTTTTCTCTATCTATTGCCAATTCAGTCTGACTTTTAAACTCTCCAATCCAAGTGTTTAAATGTTGGAAAGTCTGTCAAAGACGGCTTCAATTCTTTGTGTTTTTCCCAATAATCAGCCAGGTAAAATGACTCTGAAACACTGAGTCTGGTGGCTTTGAGGAGATCATATTAATTGTATGTTTTGCACAGTAATATATTGTAATAATTCTCCCTATTGATTTTATTCATTATACATTTACAGTACATATATCAATTGGACCAAAATGCACTTAATGGAACATGAAATTGACTAGTATCCCTCTTGTAAACGCAAGTAACTGCTTTCTGTCTAATCTTGGCTCACATGTTGTGACTTGTGCATCTGCTCTGTTGCGTGCGATCATCTGTCTCTCTTTCTGCTGACTTTGAATTAACGCTGCAACCCATGGCTTGATTATGAGAGGAACTTTCTGGTCTGCAATTTAATTAACTGCTTTTTTTTAAACTTTTAAAACATGTGCAATGTGCATCTTCTTTCCACTTCACGCCTGTGGTTTAATTATATGAAATGTTAGCCGCTGTTTCCTTTATAACACTTATCTAGGTGTGAAAAGGAGTTCTATTGTAGATAAGCGTGATGTCCGGTTTTATTTTATTTCATCTTTCACCGTATTCCTCTGTTCTATGCTACCGTTTTTATTATGCCATCTGTTTCTTTAAAAAGGGCAAATCTGTAAACATGAATGTGTGATGATTACTTGACTCAAAAATGATGTTGTATTTTAAAGCCACAGATGATGTTAGAGATCTTTTGAAAAGGCTTGAAAGAACTCCTGTGGTTTGTTTCTCATTTGTTTAACTGAGAAATATCAGTAGGCTTTATTTGAAAGAGAAAGCACGTGACAATATGAAACACGACGTAATACACTCAAATGAATCAACAAAGGATTACGATAAACCACAAACTCTTTGAAGTTCCTGTGTTTGATATGTATCCCTGAAGGCGGCGGTTCAACTTTGAACATCTAAAAACAAACTAATGACATGTGAGAATTTCCTTGATCTGCACACAGCTTTATTTTGAATTTTTTGGCTTGCTTTTTTTGTGTGCTGGACTAAAGACAAGAATGACTTTGCCTGCAGCTCGTTTTTGATTTCAGCACTCACCATCAAAGTTGCACAGATGTTGAAGGCCTTGAGGAAAAACATTGTGGAAAGTGATCAATAGATAACTTCAACAATCCTCTCAAATGGTGCCCCCTTGTGGGATGGCGAGGCGTGGTGTCCCTTGATGCCAAAGAGCAGTTTAGGCATTTTATAAACTCCCACCTAGAGTGATTTACAGTCAGTGAACTGCTGGGGATTCACTGTCCTGCTCAAGGGCATGTTGAATGGATAGATTGCAGAGGCACAGACTGAAGCTATACATTCAGGGTCATGGTGTCACATTGTGTTTTTTCTTTGCCCTGGTGTGTAAAGTTTAATCATACATTTGTTTCATTTCATATTCCTCTGAGACTCATATTCATGTGGCATTACTAAAGGGGGTCAGTGCTCAGAGGCTGTTACAGTGTCTTGCTCAAGGACACTTTGACAGGGATGGACACATTGATCTCAAAGGACTTACTAGTTCATTTTAATGATGATGACGACTCACGAGTACTATCAGGCCAGACCTTTTAGTTTCCCGGGTGCTGAAAGATAATCGCCGTTACTGCAGTGAACGAAAGAAATGCGGCATCATGAATTTGTATTCACTTGAAGCTGTTAGGTAATTGGAATACATTCTGTCTGGGCCTTATGGCACCTCCAATGCTATTTCAAACTATAAAATGCCTTCAAATCTACAAAATTATGTGTGCCCGCTGAGCTGAATCTAAATTAAAATTGGATTAGAAATATATAGGCCATTTTGAAGTGTTAAGTTTTCCTGTGCAAATCCACTGCAGTCTCCTGAGTGAAATCAACTCTGGCTCTCTGAGCACTTGAGCTCTCTGCTGCAGTTTGACACGCACCAAAACGAGCATTCATCAATACAAAAAAATTCCCTATTTGCACACACCGCACTTGAGTTATGTTTCCCTTTAATCTATGCCTCCAAAGGGATGCGTAAACAATTACAATTACTTGTGGCAGTCACAATAAATCACAGCAAATCAGTTTAATAAAACAACACCAGCAGATTTACATGCAAATTGGCCCAGGGAAGGAGGCCACATCAGCAATTGAGGTTTACTATGTTTTGTGCTTCAAGACAACAGAGGGTCTAGTACTTTTAGTTGTTTAGGCTATAAACAACACACTTCACTCTACAGCCAACCGTATACGAAACACTATTGTAGTTATAAAACTGCTTCAAACTTTTCATAAATCACAGCTTTTATCTGGAACAGGTAGGCAATGGCGCAACCTTTTCTAGTAGCACTCAAATGCACTCCATCTCCACTCGTTACAGAGCTAGACTACCGTGAAGTGTCTCCAATAGTGAGCAGCAGGTCTGTTCATCAGAGGTGACGTACAAGTGGGAGCAGAGGATTGGGAGACTGATGAAGCTGTGATCCAAACACACGCTCTGCACCTCCTCAACAACAAGCCGAAGGAACAGATTCATCTGAGGAAAATCCACAGCAGCGTGCGGTGTACACAGGCGCCATGCATAATTAGCACTATAGACACAGTGAGCAGAAATATGCTCGGGCTGCACACAGCGCTGTGCTTCAGAGGAATAAATAGATGTTTGTGGGGTCTGACTTACTGTCACATGCATGAGGTGTTTTATACTGAAAATCAAAAGATCCTTATGTTTGGTAGAGTGCATTCATATCGAAAGGAGAGGCTACATTTAGGTAATGATTGTGCTCGGTGCTTTGAATAGTTCAGACGACTTCAGCTGTGATGGAAATAGAATGGGCAATGTGCAGACTATGAGTTATTGTAGTTATTTTCAACAGAAGACTTCCCACAGGTTATATGTAAAACATGTTTTTATTATTGAGAACATAATGGATTCCTGAAGCCCAAACAATGTACGAATCCTTCCTGAGGAGATAAAGATAAAAAGAAAACATCTCACATACATATGTAACATCTGTATAAACTATACACAAGCATTCATTTGCCTAAAACAGCATCATAATTCAAGGCAGTAAAGTCAATCTCATGCTCCAGATGTTTGGCTGTAGTCGCCAGATGTGCCGTGTATTTGGATGTTAAGTTAATGTATTTCGATGTGAGGATGAATCTTTCGTAATGTCAACAAATCCCACGTAAAGATGGAAAACAACCGTGCATTATTTTGTCTCTCAAGTGTTACTTCCTTTCCCTGTTCAATGTTCTCATCACATTTGTTGCTCTTGAGGACATAAATCTTCACAAACAGGATGCAAATATGACCTTCTTTACAAAAAAAGGCCACTTCTGGACACTGAAGATACCATCAAATGCTATGGTGCAGTAACTGGTGCATATATGGAGATATCTTCAGCTCGGGATTAATACACATTTGATGCTTTTGTGTTCATTTACAGCAAACGGATGCCGTATGCAGGACAGTGTGAGGCTATGACTTCATATTGACTTTATTTTTGTGTTGCTGTGTTTAAGTGAGATAATTTACAGCAGCAGGATATTGTTAATGTTATTGACTCCAATAAAGTACAGTAGCCATGTTTATGGTAATGCTGGACCATGTCACGTAGTGTGTCTCATTGATGTGTATTTATGAGACAACAATGGAGCTCTAAAGCACAGAGACCAATCACTTGTAAGTAGGATCAATTCATGGATTTGTTGACAATAATAAACACAATCATTGCAGCCTCATACTTGAAATTCCGTATGAAAGGAACATATATACAGAAATAATAGCATTGTTATCAATTGGTGCAACCAAAAGAATACATTTTACAAGCAAACCCGAGTTTAAATAAAGCACCAACATTATAAATCAATAAACACATCATCTGTAAAATAATGAGATCCCATTGTTTTTAATGTGCTGTCCCTGACCCAGTGCAGTGCAGACAGTTCATTGTTGCTTCTTCAGCAGAAAGCGTGGCAGATCCAGTCTTTGTGCTGACCTTGTTCATGGCCGGGGTGTGATTACTTTCCAAATCATTTAAGTCACATAAAAAGCATTTAATTGATAAGCGCACATCCATTTGTGGGATCCCCTTCATAGTTAGCTGAGCATTACGCCCGAGCGCCACTGAGGCGAATCCCTTAATTGAGAAGTGTCATAAGAAGCATCCGTAAACAGAAGGCGCAAAATAAATAGTGCCATTTACATTAAGGCCGCCCCTACGGCTAATTTCTTCTTTCATAACTGTCACCCGTCCCAGGGGTGAATTATTTTCTCAGAATAGAGACAGATATATGCATGCAAGCACCTCAAGTGCATTTGTCAAGGTGCTGTTGTTTAGATCTCTCGATGATGAATGGATGAGGGGGTGTGAGCTCGGTCAAGAGCTATGGATCACTGAGCCTGTCTGCTCGGAGGAGGCTCAGCAGCAAAGTTTGATGCATGACCACTGCTTCACAAGGCAAAATAGTACAATTCACGTGGGACTACATGACGTCTGTGTGGAGAGCAGTGTTGTTGATGGGGAAGGATTTTAGGTTAAAAATACATTCAGTATCAGGTAGCTTATTCAATACATTCTTTTAATAAGTGCAAATCGAGCATTCTTCTTTTGGTAATTTGACATTCATTTCTAGAAAAGCAGTACTCTAATCCAAAATACTACACTTTGTAATACCCATGGGAGACATTTTGATTTTCTTTATAAAAAGCTAAGCGACAGAGACACCCGGGTGTGTCAGCCTTTTTGAGAGGAGAACCTTGTGCAGTCAGTCTTGCTCGGTGGTACGTTGGATCAAGTGTGTCAGCTGTTTGTTTGCCAGTGGATGCGGGACAGTAGTAGAGAATAGTCTGCTGACATCTGTCATCATCTTGGTCTCCCCCTGTGAGTCTGATGCTGGAAAGACACAATAAGCCCTTCATTGGCAACATGTCATGCAGAAGAAGAGGCAGAACCACAGTGTCACAAACACTCAAGACTAAATACATAGTAATGTCATCTTTTTGTCAATTGTGAAAATGCAACAGCCATATACAAGTGCTGTCAAGAATCCATCAAGAAATGCACACTACAGACGAAAGCACACACTGCTGAGGAGACGGTGCAGGTAGAAAGGAGCCTGTAACACTGCACACATGGAGCCATGACATGATATGACAGCTGTAAGTGCACATCAGACGGAGATGTTTTTGCTGGAAAGAAGTCATATCAACAAACATATGGCTACTGTTAGCAGCATCAGGCCGTGTCTCACTTACCTGCTCGGGATGGGTGAAGTGTGCAGGATGCCCGCGGCCATCGGCATGCCGGTGAGGATCAACATGCATGTGTCCACGTTGGGGATGATGGTTGGTGGGCCGATGTTGTACTTGTTGGTGTCGTTGAGCGATCGGCATGTTGACAGGAGGTCTAGGGGGCTGAGGCCCTCTGACTGGGGATCTGTGCGGGGTGTGCTTCTTAGGGAGGGTCTGGAACTCTGTGAGGGGCATCACAGGAGGAGGCGCTGGTGGCTGCTTAGCCCCGTCAGCAGGAACCTGTGTCTGTGTTCCGGGGTGAAGCAGAGCAGCCATTGTCTGATGTTTCCTATTCTGAAATGTTTGAGCCCTCTCAGTGTGGGTTGTGAGAGCAGCCTGGGTTAGGTTACTGGGATTATGCTGGGCAGAAGAGTTTGGGAGTGGAGCAGTGCCTCCTTGGCGGGGATGATTGGCACCGTTTATGACAGGCTGTGTCTGTTTGCCCAGGCCTTGTGTTGAAGTTTGGATCTGTGCTGCTCTCTGTGCCTGTAGAAGGTGATTAGGATCAGCCAACGCTCTTGTATCTGCACCCCGAGATGCAGCCGGTCCCTGTTGTGTCGTGGGACCTTGTGACAGAGCAGAGCGGCCCACAGAGGCCTGCTGGCTCATGAGAGGCAGAGCCTGGGGGTTATTCCTGTGTGTGGCTTCCTGCCTGGGGGCGTTCTGGCTACCAGGCGTTTCTCTGATGTCTCGCTGAGCGCTCTGCCTTTGTGTGTGTCTCACTCTCTGTGTGTTGTGTTCAGCCTCAAGCTGTGTTACGCTGCGAGTGTTTGGGCCTCGATGATCAGCAGAATGGCTCCGTGTCCGACGGTCCTCTGACGGTGCTTCTCGTCTTGGTGAAGCTCTGCTCCGTGAAGTGTTTTGGCTCTGGAGTCGAGGCTGAGATCTGCTGGATGCTCTTGCCTCTGGTATGGGAGGATGGTAGGTATAGTCTGTGTCAGAGGTGTACTCAGGAGATGTCGGTCCTCTTTGATGCCTGCCGCTGGGATACGCTGGGGTGCCTCTCAGGAGATCCCAAGAGTTTCTTTCAGACCTGCGAGGGGAGTCTGGCTCCCGCTGGTACGTCTGTGTGTCGGCGTTTCGCTGGAGAGTGTTATTACTGTTATAGTGTGTGTATCCAGTCGGGACAAGTCTAGGCTGATCTTGGTGATCTGCTGATATGTGGCCATTCAGCCGGGGGTCACTAGGATAGGGCTGCCCACTTTGCATTCTGGGATTTGATTGCTCTGTGTGTGTTATGTTCTGATGGGTTTGCAAAGTGTTGTTATTGGCAGTATTGGTAAGAGGAAATGAGCTGTCCTGCTGAGGCTGATGGCTGTTGGCTGGGTATGAGTTAAGATTGACATGTATGGTGGGCATTTGTGCATTGTTGTTTTGCTGGGCACTCTGCGGCAGTGTGTTGAGGCTGAGGTGGACCCCCGGCTGCTGGTTGCCGCCCTGGGCACCGCCAGTCTGTATGAGAATGTTAGGATTTTGCTGTTGTGTGCTCGGGAGTGTGTTTGCATTTTGAGCATCAGTGTGCGTAAAAGCCCTGTTGTCAATGCCATTGTGAGAGTATGAATTGGCATTATTAGATGCATTTTGTAGGAGTCCATTTGCGTGGGATCGTCCATTCTGTCGGTGTGTGTCGGAGTTATGCCGCCCGTTCGGCTGCAGTGTCTGTGGGTTGCTTATTTCACGAGGGGCTGCGTATACGCGCTCAGGATGGCGTGTGTGATAGAGGGGGGGTTGGGGACCTTGGCCCAAATCCCTTGCACCATTAGGTTGTGGATCTGGAGGCTTAATGTGAGCAGATGAAAAATGAGAGGAGGGAGAGAAGAGACAGCAAAAGAAAGATGGAATGAGAGGGTCATTTGTGAAAAGCCCATAAGCACCAGCACATGGACTGGATAAAGACAAAATCAATGGTGAATCACATGTAAACTTTACTGAGGCTTACTATCAGCCTGGGATTTGGGTAGTCCCTCTGCACAAGCACAGCAGAATCCCTTGGTCTCTGTGCTGCAATAATAGAAATGATAAAGAAGAAATCACTTCAGTGCATGAAAATGTGCTTGAGCTATTATGCGATGTATGAATGGAAATAAAGATCAGCCTTTTACAAAATGCTTGACTCATTAATTTACAATGAAAAAGTGGACAAATAAAAATGTACTAGATCGCAAACAAAGACTTACCCCTCCTTCGTCGCACCAGAAAGACAATAAGCACAATGACGAGCGCGAGGATTAGCAGCAGCAGCAAACAGCCAATCACAATCCCCACCACTTCCCCGACGTTTAGACACGTGGCTGAAATGTTCAAAAAAAATCATGTCAAGGGGAAGAATTAATAATGATAATGAGTCTGACGCTCAGACTGAAAATAGAAGTGAGAACAGGAGAGGAGAGAAGGGGGAGATTCTGAAAAAGGATGATAGTTACAGCAAAGACAGAGATGGAAATAGAGAAGAGGAAAGAAAGTGTGAAAGTCACTGAATGACTTTGAACACGTTCTCTTGAGATCCATCTCAGTCGATACTTTCTGCAGCTGTGATGACAGATACAGAAACTGTCCAAAACCCACTCTCATCATTAGCAGTCACAGAGAGGCCAGGCTCCACTATAACTCACCTACGATGGCCAGGTCTGTCCCCTGCTCCGACGAGCCCCCGGTGATGCCGTTTCTGGCCGTGCACACGTACCGGCCGCTCTCATCTGTTGAGAAAGTCTGAAGGTTGAGCACCCCGCTGTCCGGCTGTCCGGTGGCGACCGTCTGTCCGTCACGTTGCCATGAGAAAAGGGCAGGGGGCAGCGAGTCAGACAAGCAAGTGAGACGCACCTCCTGTCCCACCAACACATCCCCTCCCCCAACACACTCTTTAGCGCTCTTCTTGGTCAGCACAGGGGTGTCAGGGCCATCTGGTTTGTGGGAGATCAGAGGACATTCATCAGCATCAAAAACATTTGGTTCACAAGTACAACAAGGGAAATCTGTATTCAATAAAGCTGCCTCTATGAACAGATGATGTATTCTGTTCAAGGTTTTATCTTTCTGTCATTTTTGGGTTTAAGTCAGCGTCAAGCCTTTTAATGAAACCTCCTCGGTCTTGTTGCCGTCTACAAAGCTGTGCACTTTTTTGTTTGATGTTAAATCTAAAATATGAATGGCTGCCACCACTTGAAGAAACATCAAAAAGCATTGTGAAGTCCTGCACAGTCTGGAGAAGTACTGCATTGTGGGTAAACACTCCCCAGATAAGTTACTGCAGCCTGCTGTTCAACACAGCTTGACACTTTACATAAAATACTATCCTTTTTGTTCCATTACTTGTATTGAAAGCTATAAGAAATAAATTAATGAAATAAGTTTGACTCAAGTCCATACAGTAGTTCTGTAATGTAAGTATGCAACTTCCTCCAGTAAGAGGGTGGATTGGGTTATCTTTAACAAAACCGGGCAAACTACTTCCAGCCATTATGCTAAGTTTAGCTTAATGGTTCCAGCTTTATGTTTCACCGACAAACATGAGAGTGGTAGAAATCTTCTTATCACATGTGTTAATAACAATTCTGATATTCATGTGATGTGATATTCAAATATCTTGCAGAAAGGCCACATATTTTCACATTCTAGCTTAAAAAATGTGAGATGTTTTCTGTTTTATATTAAATCAAATTTCAGGTGTGACGTAACTTACTGGGGTCTGTAAGCATTTTGCCTGTTTTCTGATCATTCATCAACTGAGCTATTAAGAGATTAATCTATAATGACAAAAACAATAATGATAAGAATCATTAGTTGCAGTTTTAGTTTATATAACAGTCTGGTGTCTGGGTGGACATCAGAAGTGGTGATTTAAAATAAGTGTGACGAAAGAAAATCCACTTTTGGCATGCATAGCCCCAACAGATTTCAACAACACCCACAAATTGATGTGTTTTTCATTTGGGTAAGAACCATCTGTTTAATGTTAGAGGACAACGATAACGGGCCACTTAAATATGCCAGTGGAATGATTGGTAGTGTTTGCTATTACTGTCAGATCAGAATTAAGGATGTGATCAACACAAAGCTCAGGCAGCACAATGGGCCTATGGAAGAATGTCCTTTGCAATCCGAGTGCATCTTAGCACACTGTTTGCAATGTAGATAGAGTAGATAAGCTACTGCTGTTTGCAGTGGCTGCAGCAGATTAGCGGCCACTTGTCTTGATCAAACTCACAGTAGACAGTGACGCTCTGTGTGGTGGTTTGGGCGCTGACAGGGTTGCTGACGGTGCATGAGTAATCCCCGGCATCACTTCGTCTGGCTGGGTTGATGACTAGAAAGCCGCCTGAGATAGTGATCCTGGCGTCGGTGACTATGGCTGCACCTCCTTTGCCCCACTGGACTGTAATATCTGTCCCAGCAGTCCATGTGCACCGCAGAGACACATTCCTCCCCTCCATCGCAACTGCGGGAACAATCAGATTCACCCCCGCCACTGCATCTACAGGGAGAGTATGAAAAAAATGGGTTACCAAAGAGCTACAAAAGCAGAAAAAGGTTTCTAAAAGGCACTATGGCTGTAGGTAGAGAGCATGAGAGCAGGGGCGGTTCTAGGGGGGCCAGGGGGGCCAGTGCCCCTAACACTGTCCCCTGTGGCCCCCCTAACAATGAAAAGTTTTTTTTTTTTTTTTTTTTTAAATGTATATTTTCTGGTACTCGGTTTGCCAAATACCGCAGGATTTTGTTTCTGTAATGTGAGATTGTGCAGACACCCTTATGTAAAGTAGAGATGTAACTGTTCATTGCCTTTATTTTTATATAAATATGGTGTTAGTGCAAACATTGCACTATAACTTAAGCTGAAGCTAACAGTAATAACTATAAGATCTATCTGAAATAAATAAGTGTACTGAAACAAATACCAATAACTGTATTGCATTGTTTTCTTATGTGCAATTACTTCATACTGTCTAGTTCTCTTTTTTGTCCTGCATTTATTGTGCCCCCCTCAGAAAATAACTGGCCCCCCAGTGGCCCCCCCAGTCAAATTGGTCCAGAACCGCCACTGCATGAGAGTATACGAGAGCTCACTTCAGATGTTGGACTGACACAACAATACAGGGCAGTTTTATGTTTCTGTTGAGGATCATTTGTGGTAATCAAAGCAAGTGAGAGCTGAGAAGGGACAGGATTCAGATAGAAGCACAGATGGTGAGTAAGAGGGCAGACGTGTGAGTGGTAGCAGAGATGCCTCTTGGCAGTCAGCCTAAGTTAAATAATTGGAGAGGGAGAAGAGGGGGCGTGCTGACGGAGAAGGCTGTGACTAAGACGAAACTGCAGCAGTAACAGGAAACAAACAAAAACATCCGAGCAGATACCATACCAGATAGCTCTAATCACTCGCAAGTGTTCCGACTTTAAACTTGCCTGTGCTGTGAATCATTTAGGATTTTAGCTTCATTTCTAAAGTAAGTTATCAGTGAGTTAGTGGGAGGTTGACAGTCATGCTCAAGGTCACAAAGCCCTGAGCAACTAGCTTCATCCCCTCCTCCTTTTTCATTAATTTTACTTCGCCTACCATGGGTCACTAATTTTATTATACCTCCCAGACTAATTCTCTTACTCCCCAAATCCTCCCTCTTCTCTCTTCACTCACTTATCTTCCTCCTATACATTATCATACACGTCCCCACCCCTCATACCTTCCCTTCCTTCCCTCCCTTTCTTCTTCTTAAGTCTTAAATCAGGCACGTTTCTTTTTCTCTTACCAAAGACTCTCAGCTGTACCGGTTTGGAGTTAACAATAAAGTCTGTGGTACCAGAGGGGGTCACCTCCACCGTGTAATCCCCCGCATCTCGGAGCTGTGCGCCTACGATTCGGAGCTGGTTTGCAGAGATGGTGACCCGACCTACGAACTGGGTTCCCTGGTTAATCGCTGAGGCTCCTGAGCTCCACTGACCAACAGTCACTCCTCCCTGGAACTGCCATTTCATGGAGAAAACCTGGGACACCGTCAGCACCGTGAACACGATCTCAGAACCAGTTTGAACCAGAACCGGGTCTGTCTGGAACTGGATCTCTACCGGCTGCTGAGCCAGCACTTTGGCAGAGAGGAGGACTGAACAGAAGAGAAAAGGAGAGAAGATCAGTTTAATAAAGTACATTTACTCAAGTTATACACTTTTTGCAATTTTCAGATACTTGTACTTGAGTATTTTTAATTGATGTTACTTTATTCTTCTACTCTACCACATTATTGAGAGAAATACTGCATTTTATACTCTTATTTGACAACTATGGTTCCTAGTTATACTTTGGGGATTAAGATTTTGTAACTTTATTTAAAGTTATGTGAATCATACCATCATCCTACCAATATCATCAAATCAACCCAGTGTTTTTAAATGTGATCCCTTGTCCACAAATGTTTCAAATGTCTTTGACTATGCAGCTTCACCAAAGAGTGATTTATCCTGAAAAAACCTTTTCAAGTCACAAAAAGTCAAGTTATCAGTCATATTAGAAAAGTATTTGGAGTTTAGCCTATGTGAGACTGTACGCCGATGTAGAGAAACTGAACATATTGAGATATCTATTGAGAATATTAGGGAAAAGACCCAATTAATCATGCAAAAATGCACTAAAATTCCCCTTACATATTGATGCGTCAGTGTCCAATCTAAACATGTCATATACTCAGTTACAGGGCAATTTTACTGCGGAACAATACATTTTTATTTGGATTTTTTTAAGATCGTTATTCTGAAAATGCTTGTCCAATTTCACAGGCAATTTCTATGTGGGACATGAACTTGGAAAAAGAGTATTTTTACTGGTGGCCTCACTGAGGTAAACAATATGAAGGCTTCTTTCACCCCTGCAGAGAGCAGGTGTAACAACCTATTAGTTAGGTACAAACTCTTTTCTCCCTCATAGATTTCACACAATGCTTTTTTGAATTGAAAGTGATCCCAAGCTAAACATCTATTTTGTGTTTTTGTTATGCTGACTTAACGTAAACCGTGTTAAAATCATAGTTGTTGTCTCTCTTCTCGAGAATCTGCAGTGCATAGGCAATTTCTCAGAAACAATGTTGTAAAAGAACCATAATATTCTACAGGCTTTTTAACTGTTGTATGCTGTATCTTTCATTCAGGGTGTTTGTGAATGAAAGATAGAACAAAGATATATGTTTTTGTATTTGGCTGCCAGACCTTTGTTTAGTTTTTGTACAGATTCAGGCTGGGAAACTCAGGTAGAATACTCAATGCCGTTTTACTGGCAAATAAAAGCAACCACGCAAGAGTGCTCTGGCCAATGAATTGTAGTGAATCAAATCAATATGGTGCTGATCAGTCTCGCTGGACTGCCTTTAAATGATTTTCACAGGGGAGCAGTGTATCAAATGACAAAAGGTCAACAGAGAGATGGATTGAGTTCAGGTTCACTCGCATAGCTGTTAAAGATGTCAAAAGAGTTTCGGTGCCCCGATTAAAAATATCACCGGCCATGTCACTTTATTAGAAGAGACGGGAAGATAAAGAGACATGAGTTAAAAGAAAGAAATGAGTAACGCAGCACAGAGCAGATGCATTCATGTGCTGTTTGATGGGTTTTCCAAGGACAAAAGAGCAATACTAAGTCATATTTGAAAAGTTACAATTAATGTGTAACTACAAATATAACTCAAGGAAAATCTTTGATGTACCTTGAATGACTATTGGCCCTGAAGTCATGCCAAGAACGGTAGGAACCTTAAACTGATTAACCACAGATTAAGGGGTGGGTGGGTCTAATAGGTCAAACTGTTAACTTGTAACAATGTACTTATAAAAGTAAAGTAACCGCTGCACCTAAAAATGTCAAATTAATCACCTCTTAAGCATCAAAGGATGTTCGTCAGACCACACATTGACCACAGTGCAGGCGTTTAGCATAGAAAAAAGGGTTAATTCGCAATAATTGCAACAGCGTACGTGCATGCTTTCACACAACCACAGACACGCACTCTGCTGCGTGCAATGACGCCTGCCACAGATGTAAACAATACACTGTTCACGAGTGTTGCCATGGTACATGACTCCATTTATAAGTTATGCACCGCTTTGTTTTAGGCCACGCTTTTTGCCGCATTCTTTTTATGCGAGTTTGCAAAAAAATAAACACACACACATCTTTGACCTCTATGTTACATTTCAGTCTGCTAGGGTGAAAACTGTGGCGGCCAAAGGTCGGGAAAATGTTTTTGAGGAAATATTGAAACCAACAAAGTGAACTAAAGGGCTGCTGGAGGCAACTAAAAAAACATCTTCGATGAACCCTGCAGATTGGATCACTATTTATTTTTAATTTTAATCACAAATAGACGACAGCAACATTTGTATTTAATTATATCAAAATGTTGCTGATCATTACTTTAATTATTATCTTTCATGCATGAACAACAAGCCCTAGCTAATGAACAAATTAAAATATAATTTACATTCCTGTGCTCATTTCCTGTGCTCCTTGCAGCACAAATGCCTAAAGTAGATCATTTGTATGCACCCAAAACTGTGTTATACCCAGTTATGGAACAACAATCTGTCATTTTGGATGGGAAAATTGATACCAGCAAATATCTTAACAACCTTAAAATGCAGTGAATTTAAAAGGGTACAGCTGGTATTAGCCAAGGGGGATAAAGGAGGAAGGAAGGCGACAGGTTTGTTCTAGACATCTTCTCCAAAAAAATAAAGAAATGTAAACATACTGTGAAGGTCAATTTGATTGTAAGGGCTTGGGAATGTGTTGCACTCTTCTACACAGTAGCAACAAAGTCATTTAAAAATCAACATAAAACATATGAAAGCTGAGCCGGATGAAGGACAATACAAATAAATCGTACCTAATATGAAACTCCCTTCTGACTCTCAGTACTCTGTTTGGGCATTTAGCACCGTAAATTGTAAGCCTTTTTTTAAATCACTCAGATCCCAAATTATACCATGGGTCATTGTCCAGCAGCTGGGCACTGTGGATTTAACAAATGTTATTCAAAAAAGTATAATTAGTGCATCTATTGAGGACCGTTTTCATCTGTGTTGTAATACATATGTATTGCTCTTATTGTGAATTGTTCATCAATCCTATCTTTCTGCTGTCCATGACACCCACTTTTATGCAATAATGTAATATAAGTCTATGAGAAAGTTAAAGATATATCAGGCTTCCGACAATACTGAAGAGGATTGAAATCATTGTGATTTGTTTTTTCATGTGATTTGTTATTAACAATAAATTGTATTCTTTGAATTGTGCATGCTCGGCCAATGTTGATTTTTCATATGCAAGTGGCCAATTAGTTTGTATACTATACCTTTTAGCCTTCGGTTGTATGTCATTAGAAGCAGGCTGAATTGGAGGGAATACAGTAGGACATTTGAAGTCATATTGTCATTAACAATAGCCGAGTATCGGTATTGGATGCTGTTTCATTATTAATGCATGAGTAACAACCTTGTTTCATTACTGTATTAAAAGAAACTGCAGTACTGCCCATCCCTATCGACATATTACCAAATGCCATACAGATATAGAAAACAATGGCCTCCCATTCATTGTGAATCCTCACAACAGTTCAGATTTGAGAGCCTGGGAGGAGTCCCTGAATGCCTCACGTCACTCACTAGTCAGTAAAGCAGCCGCGCAGGTTTAAGAGCGGTTAAGACGAGCTTTGTGCTTCAGAGATGTAATTGATTTACAAACGTGCTAGGAATGCCACATTTTCCCCTCCCTGGACTTATTTTTTTTACCACAGAAGAGACAACCGATACTCTGCTTTAGAGAGCTGTTTGAAGCATTTGAACGCTGCTTTCGGAGCAGAAGGAGAAGACACCGTCAGAGGAAATTGTTTTACCTGCCAGCGACAGCCTGAGAAGAAGCAAAGGTTGTCTCATGTCTTCAGTCAGGCCGGTCTGCAGGGAAATGAAACTTTTAAAATACATTTGACATACTTCTTCCAGTAAATGCTACGGTTTATTACCGTGCTATATGCCATTCAAATCAAAAATAAACCTGAAAAACAAATATTTTCCCTTGCGTTTCAAAAAGTAGGTAGTATAAAACTTACCAAAGTATTTTCCCTCGGCCGTCATGTTCATGTTTTTGCCAAATTAAAGTTCCGTGTCGCTTTGTTTTCGATACTGATGACTCTACTTCCTGTTTCTCCACTATTACCTGCTGAGGACACACCTGTTCTCTTAAAGAGACAGCAGCCTGAATAAACAATGGCGGAAAGTAAACCTTTAACTATATTTAACTGACAGCTGTTACGAGTATGCTTACGTTTCAGATTAAGATTTAAAATACTATACCACAATACATTTTACAAAACAGAAATCATTGTGATATATATTAAACTACTTGAAAGTAAGATTCACCTCGAGCTGTAACTCTATAGCCTAATGCTGCTTATGGATTATTGTGTTAGTCTAGGAATGCCATTTGTAATAATATAACTAATAATAATAACATATTATAATATAATACACAGGTCACATGAAGCATTTTTTTTATTTAAAGTACATTTTGCTGAAAATACTAGTATTTTGACATTGTTATATTGGTACGTTTGCTTGAGAAAAGGATCTGAATGCTTTTTCTATCACTATTAATTATAGTAGTTCTTTATAGTTGTGGTGTTTTTTCATCAATAATAGTAAACACTGTATTTGGGTACATGTCTTGAATAAGTTCCTTGATTATTTCCAATGCAGGTTTTTAATGATGGCATTGCAGTAATGAGTAATTACCAAACAAAAACGAAACATATTAGATATCCTGAAAGTTCCACACACTAAAAAGAGCATCATTAACTATACATGTAGTGTATTTATACTCTTTTGTTTTCTTATATTTTCTTGTAAATGAATGAAATCCTACTGTGGAATACAGTGCCACACTGATAGCAGTAATGCAAAGACCTTATCCCTTTTTAGAGAATGTATTTATTAGATTTTATTGACTTTCATGTTTGAAGGTCAATCTTTTTTGCCCTGTTATGTGGCAGCTATGATCTGATAAAACAAATTAATGATTTGCTTAATTTACCCACTCGTGGTATAATATGGATTAATGTCAAGCAAAACAAGGACATCCATTAGTTTGTGCATAAAACCATAACATGATGTTGTCCGCTGAAGAAAAATACTCTGAGAACAAAAGTGTTGTGATATTTTTCAGATGTTATATTAGTGCCACCCACTGGTTAATTCCAGCTACCAGCACATCTTTGTAGTCAAAGATCTCAGTGGGAGCCACAGCTGTGACTCCCATAATTATTCATAAACCCTCTGAAAATACAAATGGATTTATAATCAGTTTTAAATCACTTGTTAAATCTGTGCCCCAGGATGCGTTTCATGAAGTCAGAAAACGCAGAGCTAACCCCCTGAATAAGTGATGTCATTATGTTTCAGTGCTTTATTAGTGAAAAAGTATCTGCTGATGCACACAGTAGTAGCTGTTCTGTAGCTTTCAATAATATTACATGGTCTTTCTCGACAGATGATTTTCTAAAGGTTATTGCAAGCAGCTGAGGTTTAAATATTTTATATGTGAAAGAAAGAGTCCAGAATAAGAACTACATTTAAATGTTACTACACTAAATCAGCTAATTGTTTGTCTATAAGGCAAACTTTGTATTTAAGGTGTTCACCAATGCCTCAGAGACTGGATAGTCCCAGTAGAACATTATAAAATCATTAACATTCCCTATTTGCGTGCTTGAAGTGCATGCAAGAGACAATCATAAACAAAACAAAACAAATATATCGAGTAATACATGTACTACCTACTCTTAACAATCCAAAGCCAAGGAAATGTGTCTGCAGGGCGAATAGTGTTTGTGCTGGATAAGAAGCCTGCAGTACAAAGCCTATTTCATAATGAGCTCCAACATTGTCATTGGTTTCCCTTCAAAAGAATACCACTGCATTTTATCAAGTTTACAAACTGTATTGTTGAGTGAGAATGTGTTTGGAAACAGGTTAGATGAGGGGGGGATGAAGTTTAACAATGGAGAGTTGACATATTCAGTGCACAAGAAAAATTAAACCTTTATTGTACAGGAAATGGGGGGAGACGGGAAGGGCAGGAAACTGCTGGAAAACAAGTTGACGCCTATGTGACTCACTGACTGGACCTGACGTTAAAAAGCAGAGCAGAGAGGAGAACAAAGTCCTGAAACATTAATTTCAACTCAGGTTTAATGGTGGCTTCAGTAATAGTGGTAGATGTAGAAGCCGTCGTCTTTAACTAGATTATTTCTCACAATGAAATGGAAACTACTTTGATTATTATTTTTATTTTGAGCAATAAATCTACTGGCAGAGTGAGTGCACCTTAACCTCTGGGAAAGTGAAGTGGAAGCTTTGTTAGTCTCAATTTTGGAGAGGTAGGTGATTCCCACTCTGTGGCCTTCTGATATGGATGACTTCAAGGTATACAGCAAAGGGAATTCCAGGTTATATTTAATGCATGCAGGTTGTGTTCCTGCTCTGCTATCACTGCTTCCTCTCTCTCTGTTTTGTTGTGTCAGCTGTGCTTGAGGGGATTCATTTTAGTTTTGGCAGTCGAACCGTCCCTATTTTGTTCCAAGTTGTGATTCAATTGCGGTATGTAATGCCAAGAGTGTTGTTTGTTGGATGTTTTGCAAATAAATTAAGAAAAAAAAAGAATAACCCTCAACATTGGGTTTGCATTTTTTCTAATAGAGGGGCATGCTGCTTTAATTGCTTTTTGCTCTCATTTTAATTTTACATTTTCTCTGGAGGGACTATTATTCTTGCTGCAGTGGCATCCTTGCTTCACGAGTACATAGGAAAGGGCGGGATGTTTCTGCGGTCATGGACAAATTCCTCTGTCTGTTCCCCCTCTACATCAGCAGGTGTTATGGATCTACATTATTTCCCGAGCTGGAAAGTTGCCCTGCTGCTTCTCTTGGGTAAGGTCTTTGTTTCTAGCCAGCATCCTAAGGATATCTATTTAAAACTCTGCTTGAAACTACAGGAAGAAAAATATTTTCTGCAATGCACTCTGACACAAACACATACTTACTTTGTTATATGCCTTTTGCATGAATAATAAGCTTACATTATTTACATCTCCTTCATCCTTGGCCTATCAAGTTAAGACGTGTGATTAATACTCGTTGTATTAAGCACAAAGAGGCTTACCAGGCCCACTGCATTTTGACACAGGATTTAAGATATTGATGGGGTTTGATGGATATCATATTAGGCATGGGCTGTCGTGTGCTATAAATCATCGCTTGACATTGTTTGACAGAAAGAAGCCATACATATTCAAGTACATGCCGAGGACGAAGATTAAGTATTATGTCATTGTTTGTTTTACTAGCCTTCCATTCTGCCCAAACAATGCAAATCTTCCAAATGCTAAAAGGTCATGCTTATGAATATGAAATACTTTGGATCATAATAAGAGTACAAACTGCATGTAAGCAGATTTCTGATGCAATAACACATTTCTGTCCTCAGTGCCATGCGGGCTGCAGTGTATGTCGGTGCATGTACTCAACGAGGAGCCTGTGCATGTGATGCCGGGACAACAACTCTTTCTGAGGGCTCAGATCGAGCATGGACCCCTGGAAGAAGTCTCCTCGGTGACCTGGGAGAGGGAGCCTGAAACTGGAATGACCCACGAGCGAGTGACACTGGCCACGTGCCCGGGCAGGAGCCTCAAGTGTGCCGGCACCAGGCCAAACGTCCATGTGAATATGGAGCAGCAGGAGACAACACTGGAGATGAATGCGTACGAGGCAGCAGACGGCGGCGTGTACACTCTGACTGTGACGGATCACAGGGGGGCCAAAACCACCGCACAGTGCATCGTCAGGGAATATGGTAGGAGTATGATGCCCAGCATGTGAGGGAATTTGTTGTGAAGCCTTAAGTGATACTGCAGATATTTTTAAACAAGTAGTCCTTATTGATTAGTCGAATTACCCAAATCTCATATTATTTTCCAATCATCAGCCATTCATTCTCATTTCTAGGCCCTTAAGAAAAACACTATGATGTCTGGTACAACACACAAAAGCTAAAACGCATTTGATGTTTGACTTTATTTATCGATCAAATAAAGCTGACCAACTTTTAAGGGGCCATCTTCTCCAATTAAACGTTTTTTTCTGGCCAAATCTCTCATTTTGTCAACCTTCGCAAACAACACTATCTTATAATCGACGTCCAATTAATTATATTTCTTTTTTAACAGATGTAGGTTTTTCTTCTGAGCACTTATCATCTTTGTTTGTCAGACAAAATAAGTTATTTAAAGACCACAACCTGGGCACTCTGAAACTTAGATTTGCATTTTTTTCTTATTTTCTTCTATATCAAACAACAATCACTTAATAGTTCATTGCAATAATAATTTGATGAATGGATAAAGAAAATAATAATAAGATACAGCCCTTGTTTATTTTGTATTCCACAATATATAGAAATGACATTTATAAGGATACAGGGTTAGTTCAAATACCTATGTACTATCTCAGAGTGGTTATATAGAAGAAAACATATTTTAAATCCTCAACAGCTGCAATGTCCCGGCCAACAGTTTAATGAATGTGTTTTCATTTCACGCCAGCAGGCATTGTTTCTTTCTGATTTTGGAAGTCTCATTTAATAATTAAATAATTTGCCTATAGGCTTTGCTTGCTGGGTCTCTCGTTTGTTTCATTGCTTCTAGATAATTCCTGTCTCGACGTAGCTTTCTAGTCCTCTGTCCAAGCTTTATTTTACTCTCATCTGTCTGCTCTAACAGTATCAATTCATCAGCTTCACTCTTCTCTACGTCTGCTCTGCCGCTCCCAGGGCTATCCATCATCCCATTCTCCAACATTATGCCTCACCCGCCGGGCTCATTATTGTCTCTGAAACTAAACCAGTTTCTCCTGACAGCATTTAACGTCTCTCATGATTCTTTGTCTCAGAGCCTTTCGGACAGCCATTCGCCATTATTCTTATTTTATAATCGAGAGATGCCCACGGCTCCTCTTTCTATCAGGCTCTGAGTTTTTTACCTCCAATCCTTATCATTTCTTTCCACTCTAATCCTCTCGTCTTTCTTCGCAGAGGAAGTGCACCATGTCTCAGTGAGCATCAACGCGTCTCACTCCACGCTGGTTTGTGGCGAGGCTTGGGGAACTGACCCCCACTTCAGCTGGCTCCATGAGAGGGCGGCCATCACTAACTCAGTGGGAAGAGTCTCCAAAGATGGAACTAAATTGTTGGTGACAAAGACTCCTATCTGTGGCCACTTCACCTGCATGGTCAGCAACGAGCTGGGCCACAGTTCTGCCACCTACACTGCAGGTACGACTGTTTCTCTGGTGTGTGCATTTAGTAGACTTATTTTGCCTTGCTCTGGACTGAACTACTTTATAAATATAATAAGAAATTGCTCACTTGGTGTCACAACAAAAACAGACTGTTAATTTTCCCTCAGATCAAGGAGCATATTTTAGCTCATTATTTTGGTTTTACAGCCCACAACTTTACTGTTTCTGTACACTGCTTCAGTTTTAAGCTAAACGGCTCTAAGAAAAAGGCTTCTGTAGACTTCCTGCCCAACAACAAGCGTCAGGAACATAAACTTTGAGAACATATTGGATGTTTTGGCAGCTAGAGAGCCAGATAATTCCCCCTCAGGTGATGGTGGAGACCAAATCAGAGCTAATAAGGAGAGTTAATATTAGATGTATTATCAAATAGCTAGGGATAGCAACAAATACAGTACTGTATGATGTAGCCCTGTTTCAGCTAGATGTATAAATAGGAAATAGTTAACATAATGTGTTGTTTTACAGCTAGTTCAAACAGCCCCACTAAACTTCAGAATCAAGTACTTTGTACTTCATGTGACAGCTCATGAAGTAAATCATGCATTGTTATGGATTAAACTAACCAGTCATATATGAAGTAATACAATTTGCCTTATTTCGACAGTTCAAAAGTAATTTGGTAATAGGTATTTAACAAATATAACAATCCTGTACTTGTTCTGCAGTGGTCCCTTCATATTATTTTATATTTTAAGAGAAAACATTTCATTGGAAGAATTTGACTTGACTTTTATTTTATTACATAAAGTACCCGAATGTACGGAAGAGGATTAGGGCCACATAAAACATTTTTTTGTGAGGATTTGAAAAAAATATTATTATTTTTTTGTTCTGAGAAAAAAGTCACAATTCTGACTTTAATCTCAGAATTCTGACTTTTTTCTCAGAACAAAAAATAAATAAATAATTTGAGAGAAAAAAGTCAGAAATACCGGTAACTGTAAACCAGCTTCACTGCGATTTACACATTGCAGTAGGCAACAATGGAGGACGTGAGTGAATTTCTGCGCACCAGAGGGGTCCAAGAGGAAACCATATTGCAAATGGAAGAACAAAAGGTGAGTTATAAATATATAAGTGTGTTAGACCCCTCTGGCGCGCAGAAATTCACTCACGTCCTCCATTGTTGCCTACTGCAATGTGTAAATCGCAGTGAAGCTGGTTCTACAGTTACCGGTATTTCTGACTTTTTTCTCCCAAAAGAAAAAATGTTCTGAGAAAAAAGTCAGAATTCTGAGATTAAAGTCAGAATTCTGACTTTTTTCTCAGAACAAAAAAAAAAAAAAAAAAATTTCAAATCCTCACAAAAAAATTGTTTATATGGCCCTAATCCTCTTCCGTACGAATGCCTATTTCCCAACTAAAGATTATGATCATTATAATGTTTAATACTTATTTTTCTAAGCTTGATTGATCGACAGGTGTCTGTGTTTATGGAAATTAAAATGTTGTGTTTTTTTAAGTCAGCTCATGGCTTGTATCATGGAAATTCACAAGTCAGAATCCTTAATCTGTCTATCTTGAGCCGTGTCCTGATTGCACTTTGCTATGTGTATTGTATCACTGATGGTGTTTCAGTGATAAAAGATTTTCCACACTGCGATCAATAAATCACTACCGCAACTGTTACTGCTACTGCTGCTAAACAGGCGAGACAAATGCAGTTCTCTGTATCTGCCAAAATGTGTGATGATCCAAAGACATTCGGGGTATTTCAGGGTTCGTCCTGTTAGCTCTTGCTGTGGCAGTCAGTTTACTGACTCTACAGACTTGTTCCAAAGGACCTTTTTGGCCTTTTCCGGCAGCCGTGTCAGATTATGTTTTTCTCCCACCCTCATCTGGTATCTTTTTCCTGGCTGACAGCACCTTGTGAGGCAGAGGGCAGAGGGACAATAGCAGCTGTAGTGTGTCCCATCTTCCTGCTGCTGTTTGGAGGAGTGCTGGCGTTTCTGCTCTGGAGGTACAGTAATGCACACAAACACTGGCAGGCACAAATCTCATTTCAGGCTCTGATAATAAAGCCATACTCTGGGAGAAAATAAGAAACCAATAGAAGCTGCTTTTAAAAGGACAAAAGAACTAAGGGTATAAGATGAGAACAGAACAAATGCTACCCAGCTAGAGTCCTAAGTGACACATGAGGCGTGACAGGCCAGGCTGCGTCTGCTGACAAAGCCATTGTGATGTTTACTCGAGCCAGTGTTCGCTTTGTCACTTCTGTTTGATCTAAATTGGACACTTGGTTTTCTTTTCAGGCGACACCGGCACAGCTACAGAGGAGAGAGGCTGCACGAACATTTGGATGACACCATCTAAAAAAGGCCAAAGATACACTTCTGTTTCTCAGAGAAGAGAACAGGAAATGGACTAAACCGTGAGGCTGGGGCTTCGTGTCCTGTGAGCAGAATGACCTTTGGAACAATGTGAAGAGGGAACTGCTTACTGGCAAATAACAAAAACATCTAAAAATGGATATTAAACTTGTAGTGCCAGCGATGTCTGTGCACTGCCTCCTGCTGGTCTGTACCTGACACTGTGTATTTGTTAAAGTCATGTTTTTATAAGCTTGTATCAGATGTGAATGGTTGTTTACCTTCAAATGCTGCCTTCATAATAAAATCCCTTCAAAGAGTGAAAGAAAACTCAGTGGTTCAGCAGTTTTTTAAACACTATTAGTTTACTCCTCTAAAATTTGATTTAATAAGCATTGTGTTTGAATTGCATTTGTTGTTACATGCACCAATACACCATTTCCTTGTACCGTGCTTGAAAACCTGGCAATAAACTGGACTGTGATTCTGATTGTAATGGATAGGAAAGACATAAGGCCTGTACAAGTATACACCGGCAAGAATGGAAATATAAAATATAAAACTTTATAAAATGGTGTTATTTATTGGAGAATATGGATTGATGTTTCGGTCATTTCCTTTCCAGCTCTATGAAAAATACCTTTGTGCATGTAAAAGATGTCAAACTTAGCACACGACTATTTATGTCGGTTACCATCCCACTTTGGATTTAACTTCTGGGATAATTTGTACTTTCTGTTTGGTTAAAATATTCCTTGTGTTCACCCAAAAGCTGCAAATTGTGGGGCGTGTTAACTTTCAGAGTCCTCCTTTCCTGCTACAAATGCACCCTCTAACCCCAGCAGTGTTATGGCTGTGCTGTGTTGATCTACATTGGACCACATGGAGGAAACCAGGCCAGAGGAGCAAGAGGTGAAATTCAGGACACGTTAAATCGGATGCAGGAGGAAAAAGCAAAACATCTGCCATGAGAGTTTATGTATGCCTCTGAGAGTTTAAGCCAAAGATCGTTTCTGCCTTCTATGACTGTAATTTGAAATATATCAAAGGAAAGATGCTCCACTTGCAGCTACAAAAGTCTTCAATATTGTGAGACCTTAAAACTGATACAAGGAAAGTAGATACAGCGTATTGCTCCCGAGGGCTACATGATATCCCAAGAAAAGAGGATGATGACATATTATGAAAATGGAATGAAAATTGAAGAGTGATAGGTCGGGAATACAGATCACTCACTACAGAAGACAGACTGTTTAAGTTAATATGCAACTTCTGAAAGCACCTATATATGAAATAAAGCCAGCTTCCTACTGGTCTGTAAAAAGTAGACAATACATAAAACATTCAGTGTGCAGAACCTCCGTCTAAAGAGCACGTTTGACAGTATAAGAGTAGAAGAAGGGCATTTCCCTTGCCCTGATTTGAGCCAAAATCCCTCTCACAAGCCCATTAGCACTGCTCCCATTGTATTGTTAGACTACCCTGTGCACCCCTTGAGCTCTTGTGCCTCCCATCAGACTACAGAATAGATGGAGGTGCAGGAGAGGCACATCCATCATGTGGAGCCAGCCACGGGCCTCGTCCTGAAGCAGGCCCACGCTGGATGTACAGAAGAAGAGCTCCATTGTCCAAAAACTACAGAAAAGGCATCACTGAGCTATAGCATTGCACAGTGTGGAAAGCTCCTTCCTTATGATGAACATGGTCAGGTCATTCCAGTTCATCTTTAAAATGGGCTTGGTGCCAAACAGGGTGTAGCATTGAGAGTTTTTTCGGATGTTGTTGACTATAACGCCCAAAACTAAATATTTCAAGTCTGCAATTAAGCTGTTTCTCTCAAAAGTTATCTTAACCCCATGCCAGATTGAAGTATAGACCAGCTGTGTGCAGAAAAATCCAGGTCAAAAACATCAAGCATGATTTCTCGTTCCTTTAAGCAGAATAATGACATGCTTACAACTACGATACCAACACGCTGGTTTTTAGAAGGTAATGTTCCCCATGTAAACACTCCTGCCAACATTTGCTAATTAACACTAAACTCAAAGTGCAGCTGATGGGAAAGTCATTAGTTCTGCAGGTATTTCGGTCATCAGAGTGTCAGACTAATTTAAATGCTGACCCGGTGATGTTGCCTCTAAAAAGGCAGGAAATCATCAGAATCATTTTTGATTTATCCTCTAGTCATCATCATTGTGTGTACAAACTGTGAAGCAATAGTTCAGACCAAAGAAACTTTAATAAAACCATACATAACTAACTCGGTTGACAAAATGACTGCAGTGGGTACTTTATCAATTTTACATGAAATCCCCCATAAAAATGATCTGTAAATAATCTAATGCATTGTATTTGATGTTATTACATTGCAAGACTCTGAGGACTGACAATGAAGAATGGCTGGGAAGGACTCACTGTTTGGTCATAATTCACACAGTCCATAAAATAGAAAAGACTGTCTGCTGATCCCTGACAGCTCAATAATATCTTATCACCATCTCAGCCCACACACAATAACTGATAGATTCAGATGATTGTTTGCGGGGGTATTGTTCTCTGGAGCTGTGAAGAGCAGCGCACTGATTCGTGACACATCCATGAGACACATCAGCCACCAGTCTTCCCTCTGTTGACCGCAATTATTCAATGTCTCTGCATTCCAGCTATGCTGCGCTTATCACGGCATTTCCTCCCCAGAACTATAGTATTCATGTGTTTGGAGATAGGGAGCAGTGAGGGGAGAATTGGTGGACTGCAGTGATTAGAGGAAGTGTGTTGTTATGAACCCCTTAGCTCTTTAGGCATGGTTTGACCATTTTTGGAAATTTACTTACTTGCCTTTTTGCAGATATGTTAGATAAGACTGATACCACTCTATTTCTAAAAAGTAAATATGAAGCTATACAAGAGATAGTTAGCCTAGCATACAAGCTGTGGAGAAACGGCTAATCTGACTCTGTATATATACTCCTGTAAAACTGCAACTTTTACATGTTTATGCTATTTTTACAATTTGGTTATATTTCAAATATTTTCATTGGGAAGAAGCATACAAGTGTAAGCAATAGTCCAGACTTCCTTGGGGTGGAAATCATGCTTCTCTTTTTCAACATAGAAGACATAGAGGGAAACATCATACAAAATAATAATTTAAAAGAAAGTTTATGATTACAAATAAATAAATACACTTAAACGGTGCAAATTAGCCAATTATGAAACCTGAAAATGAGCATTATGGGGCCCCTTGGAAAGTCTTCACTTCACAGAGCTATTGCTGAAAAGTATTTTTTGCAGGGAAAACGGTGTAACCTTGTTGTAATAAACCAAAATGACATTCGGTTTTGACTGTCATCATTTATCAGTCATTGCATGTCAATCCCAAACAAACTTATCAGCGGAGAGGAGGGGTAGATTTATTGGAATAAAGCATAACTTCTCATGCTTAACAGCTGCGGGCTGTATACTTGATATGAGAGTGGTCTAAATCTTCTTATCAAACTCTCGGCAAAAAAGTGAATACAGGTATTTCCCAAAATGTCAAGCTGTTTCATAACTGATTCTCATTTTGGCTTAATAAAAGGTCTAAAGTGCATGAACCCAGATCTGGGTAGCTTCATCACTCTTCAGAAACCTTTAAAAGAGGCAAATATTTACTCAGCTGACAGTCAATCATAAACTAGGCTCACGAACACACAGATTGTGGTCCCATTCATTTAATGGTTGTTGCTGACTGTGCGTATCGCCCTGCTGGGACGGCCTTCAGGGTGTCTTTTGCAGGTAGACATCTGTGATAATTCTCTGTGCCGCAGAGTCATTTGTCATGTACGGGACAGAGGGGATAGAGGTGTGCAGCCTGAAAGTCAAGTTGTTAATCTCATCACCCAACCTTCAGACGGAGGCATGGTTGGAGGTTAGAGGTAGGGCTGCTCAATTAATCGTATTTTAATCGCAATTACGATTTTGGCTTGTAACGATTATGAAAACAACATAATCAAAATAAAACGATTATTTTTTGTATTGGTTTTTCAGTTGAATGATATCCTACTTATAGTTCAGGATAATCAACTGTTAAAAACCTACCATTTTTAATAATCGTGATATCAATTATTGACCCAAATAATCGAGATTATGATTTTTGCCATAATCGAGCAGCGCTAGTTAGAGGTGAAATAAAAACGCCACCCACACAAGATACAGCACTGAAATAATAACGTCCAAATCCTCTGATGTTTGGGAATCGCGCCATCAGGCCTAATATTTACCGTAAGTCTTCATCCATGGCCAATCATCTGTCTGTCCTTATGGGCCCTTTACAATTCAGCAAGTCATTCAGGGACTTCTGTAATGCTTCACCTCCAGGCCCGGACTGGCCATCGGGAGGACCGGGAGGTTTCCCGATGGCCTGGCCTGCTAAGTGGCCTGCTGGCTTGAGGAATTTTGTTTATGTATTGTGAACGCAACGCTGCGCAAATGTGGGTCTGACTCTGCCTCACAGAGGGTGACTGGCTGTCTACATGATGTGGCCTGCCGACATGGACACTTTCATACAGATCATACACTAATGCCCTCGATTGGTCTCGTGTCATTCAAGCTCGGGAGGGTGTGTATGTGTGGCGCGAGAAAGCGAGAGAGAAAGCGCGTGCACTGATTACGTGTATTGTTGTTGTTAGCATCCGGTGCTAGCTAGCGGCGCTAACGGAATGAGCTGTCAACAAGGTGGAGGAGAGTCCTCTCCTGTCAGACTGAGAGACTGATAACTACAGCTCAGGTGAGGTAAAGGACTCTCTGAGTGTTTAGATCGTTAACTTAGTCTAAGTTATCTCTGTGGGTCTCAAACGGTTTGGTCACCATTTATGTAAACACATATTTCCATTTGAAGGGGGAGTGATTAGTCAAATATGCATGAATAATAATTTTTAAAAAGTTAACTAGGTGAAAAAAGGTAAGATAAACTTTAAAAACTTGTTGAGAGCTAAAACTAGTCTTTGCTGCTGCCTCAAAGAGGAGCAGGGGGAGAGGAGGGAGACAGGTGAGGCTGGTTCAGGAGCCCAGACACACTCACAACTATAAATGAACCAAAAACAAATAAATAAACAAGTTTCAATGTTTTTTCATATTGGATATGGTATGTTATTGGTTATGGCCATGTTATTATGATTTTATGATTTTTTAAATGTATACAGTTCTGTTTCATATGGGTGTAGTCTCTTTATTTCCCCCTCAAAGTGCACTAGATTGATGCATTTAAGTCCAACATTTAAAAAAAAAAATCTTCCTCGGGGAGCATGCCCCCGGACCCCCTAGAGGATTTGAGGTCCACCTCCACTTAA